CACAGAAACAGAGCGCGGAGTGCAATGAAATCATAGTTTATCTCTTGAATGTGAAGAACTCAACTAATAAAACTTGACACTAGCTCAAACCCTTTCAGGTACAAGAAGCAGCATGAATTGCACCATGCCTTCAACATAAGCAAATTATATGCCTGAAACAGCCACACAAACATAAGAGTTTTCCACACGCCAGATCTACCACTATCCCCCTCAACTGACATTATGTCAGGTTAACGAACGAATTGCTATGCCACCGTAATATCACGCGTGCAGTAGTACAACTACAACAATAATTATCAAATTTGGAACACTAATCGTGGGAGTAGGAAAGGCAGAGCGGACATATGTATACATTACCGAGGGTGATGTCGCAGCCGCTGAAGAACTCGCCGTCGATGTAGAGCTGCGGGAAGGTGGGCCAGCTGGAGTAGTCCTTGAGCCCCTGGCGGAGGGCGTCGTTGGCGAGCACGTCGAGCGTCTCGAAGGGCACGTCGAGGGAGCGCAGGATCTGCACCACGGTGTGGGAGAAGCCGCACTGCGGGAAGTCCTTCGTCCCCTTCATGAGCAGCACCACCTTGTGCGCCGACACCACCTTGTCCAGCGTCTCCTTCATGCCCGCCGGGGGCCCCTCGGCCGCCGCCAGGCGCCCGAGCGGAGCCGCAGGGCCGGGGGAGGAGGGGCCGTCAGGGGGAGCGCCACAGAGAACCGAGCGGGTTGAGGTCGCGCGGAGAGGGGGAGCGGGAGGGCCGCGCCGGCGAGCACCGTGGCAGAGGGGGCGGCGGCGGCGATCACGGCGGGCGGCGGGTGGCGTGTGGAGGTCGCGCACCGGCAACGACGGATGCAGGCAGAGGACGGATGAGTCGTGGCTGTGGTTGACTGGATGGCACAACCGTCATTTCCTCGCGACTTTTTGTGGCCGGCCGAGAAGGCCGCCTCCAGCCCTGGCTGAAGAGTCCTAGGCATAGCAATAGCGCGGTGTGTCCCACCTGCGCTACAACTATTCATCTAGTAGTAGTGTAGGTTTTATACCCCATGCTATGAGTATTGTCTGTTGAGGAACCAAGGTGAAAATCATTTAGTAGTAGCGTAGATTTTTTGCGCCCGTGCTACTACTATGCCATACCAATAACGTGTTTTTTTACCCGCGCTAGTACTAAGTAGCAATAGCGCGGGTCAAATAACCCACACTACTACTAAATGTCTATCTATAAGGGTTTTTCTAGTAGTGGCATTGTAGACCGGAGCAAATGTCTACAATTATTCCAGTATTAAGACATTATGAAAGCCATTTTGCCACACAAAACTACAAAGCGTGTAAGGGTATTTTTGTAAAAGATTACATGTTAATTTTCTTAAATGTGCATATCAAACAGTACTTTATAGAAATTTATATTATGATTGCATAAGGTACATATATGTGAGCTACTTATATTAAAGAGTATGTGGTTCAGCAAATGTTATTCATCTAGAGGGGGACACGAGGAATGGGACGCAGAAATAGCTCAGCCTTCCTTCGAACAGTTGCTCCAAACACCTTTGTCATGTCTATTTCCTTTGGGTCCACTCTGGGAGGAAGCTCCCAGTTAAAATGGTAAATTAGGCTAGCTAATGCAATCTCAATGTTTGCATATGCAAAATCAATCCCAGGGCAAATCCTCCTTCCAACACCAAAAGGAGTGAACTCAAAGTCCAAACCTCTGAAGTCCGCAACACCATCACATTCAAATCTCTCTGGCATGAACTTTTCAGGCTCATTCCAGTACTTCGGATCCCTAGAGATTGCCCATGTGTTGGTTAGCATAGTAGCCCCTCGTGGTACGTCGTATCCTTGAATCTTGCAGTCTTGCACACACACTCTAGGGAAGAGCGAGGCAGGAGGGTGTAGTCGCAAGGTCTCTTTAATAACCACCTGGAGGTATTGCATGCTTTTTAGTGAGGCCTCTTGTACTGTGGCATGTCCTGCTAGAACATAATCTGCCTCGGATTGCACCCGCTGCATGACTCTTGGGTTTGTCATTAGTTCAGCCATCGCCCATTGTAGAATAGTAGTTGTGGTGTCAAGTGCCGCACCAAAGACATCCTGTTGGGATACAAGTAAAATTGATCAGAAGACTGTGAAATTATCAAAGAAGAAGGATTCGATCTAGATGGACGCTATGTGACATCTCGAGTGACAGAGGGCTACAAAAATGAAAAGAGAAGACATAACGTGACTTGAATGGGAACCACATAATTTTACATATTTGCTAATTCTTGATCAATTGTGAATTAGTTAAATCTCAATCAACACTGTAATCATCTCTTTATGCGGAGATTCATACAGATTTTTTTTCTGTTTTTTTTTTCATTCTTTGGTGCATGATTTACATCGTTCTTTGGTTTCTACTTTTATGTTTTTCTCCGCACGCAACTATAGTTGCACATCACCGTCAGTCATGCAATTGCAACTACACATCCCTCATCGGTCGCGTGCAACTACAACAATACATCCTTTGTCAGCCATGCAACTACAGTTGTTCATCTCTCGTTGGCCATAGAGTAAAAAAAAAGAAAAACAATGAAATGGTAAAACAGGCAAAACAGCCTATGCTGATGTCAGATGAGTAAAATCTGAATCGAGTGAGATTTAGTCACACCCCACCTTTTTACCGGCAAAAAGGGAAGGGCCCCTTTCTGACTAGGGCACTATCTCTTCTCTCCTAGCTAAAATCGAAAAGGTTTGACTCATTCTGTACCTCTATATGTTGGAACCTATGGAAACAGAGAAACGGAAGGGTCTTCTCTAGATCTCACATAGCAAATGAATGGAGCACTGCCGATAAAATACATGAAGAGATCATACTAGCTGTGGGCCTCGGCGCGAGGAAGAGATGTCCAGAACTTTGTTGATTAGTAGTAGTTTAAGTTGAGTGTGGAGTGGAGGTGTGGATGTGCCAACCGAGTGTGATTTTGGCCATCAGATGTAATCTTTGTAATTAATTTCTACCTTCTATAAAGGTAAGGTACGTAATTTGCGTTCTCTCGAAAAAAATGGACTGATGAAAATTTTGTTTTCATGCAATTTAGGATTGGCAAATCCTGAAGAACGGTGGAACTTTATGATGGTGTATAATAAACGGAAACGTTCGAGTTTTAAGCATAATTTTAAATAGCGCGCTAGCTTCTGCCACTATTTGTCATAACCCGTTATTTGAAACTTTGGTTTTAAGATCGATAGAGCTTACTATGAGCAGTGCCCTTATGACTCCGTCGGTTAGGGAAACTCGCATGTTGCCTTCTTTCTGGATCCTCAGCAACACGTCAACCATGTCCTGTTCGTCGTCTCCATCTCTGGCTGCCCTTCTCTCCTCGTGACTCCTAAGGATGTTGTCCATGATCTTGAACATCTCTTGACGGTGCCGCTCTGCCTTGCCGCTGCGCTGCAGAAGCCGAATCAGCCGCGACGACGGGAAGAGATCCCGGAGGTCGAACAGCGACGACAGACCCACTCCTTGCTTGACGATCTTCAGGAACGCGGCTCTGTCGGGCAGCCTGTCCCCGAAGATGGCGCGCACGGCCGAGTCTGTCATGAACTCGTCGAGCCTCTCGTCGACGTTCACGAGCCGGCCGTCGGACGTCGCCTGAATCGTCGAGACGAGGCGGCCCGCCTCCTCCTCGCGGATCTGCCGGAACGCCTCGACGCGCCGCGCGCTGAGCAGCTCCGTCATGAGGATCCGGCGGAGCAGGCGCCAGTGGTCGCTGTAGGGCGCGAAGACGATCCCCTGGCCATGCCTGGAGAACTCGTCGATGCCCGGGCTGCTTAGGCGCTCCGAGAAGGCGGCCTCGTTGCCCTTGTAGATCTCCCTCGCGGCCTCGGCTGAGGAGACGACGATGGCCACGCGCTCGCACAGCCGGAGCAGCATGAGCGGGCCGTGGCGGAGGGAGAGGTCGCGCATGGTGCGGTGTGGGAGCCCGCGCAGCAGGTGGTGCAGGCTGCCGATGATCGGAAGCTGCCACGGGCCGGGAGGCAGCCTCGGCCGGGGCTGCTTGGCGGCGGCAGAAAGAGCGCGTAGGACGGCGTGGTAGAGGAGAGCCAAGAAGAGGCATAGGCCGAAGTGGTAGTATGGCATCGTGAACGGCTCCATGTGAGGAAGGGCGAGAGTCGCGCGCATGTACTGCATACTAGTAGACGGAACAAGGGGCTCTATATATGATCCTCGCACCATGATGCGATTGTGATGGCCCGAAACGAAACAAATATAGCAACAAACCAAATTAAAGGCAACATGTACAGGATTCCTCTTTTTATAGCTGTGCCAATTAATATTCAGAGTTTGGAAATGATGTTCTCGAGCTTTGCTCTCAGCTTTCTTTGGGACTTAATTTCTTCCTACCATCAGCACAACCTCTAACCGCCCCTAGCTTGACGTTGAGGGAGAGTGACTAATCAAGCGTGATAACCAAAGCAGAAGGATCGTAAAGTTTCTGTTTACTCTTCATCTCTCACTAGTCACTACACAGATTGCTTGCTGGGACAATAAGTTACTCTAGTTGTTAGGTTCCGGGTCACTGAAACCATTTCTATTCTGATGATTTTAGGTAGAATCATAATTCTGACATACGGCGTAGATCACAACGTATTGTGATTGTATACAGTAGCAAAATCCCCCCGCGCGCGCTGTGATACGCTCGTGGGGGCACATGATGCATCGACACGTAATACTAACGAGTACTGGTGAGAGGAGGATGGAATCAGAAAATACCATTTGGTGAGCTAGGAGGATAAACCCCTGCATTAAATTTCCCAAGATTGCATTTTCTTACTTTTAGTGCTAATGCATTTGTAGTTACTTTGATAATATGTATGGGGACTAGTGAAATGTACTACTTGTTGTAGAGATATGACTGAGAAGTATCGAAGAGTTTCTTTTTCTGAGAAATTGACAGGATCTCTGTCTATTCATATAGAAGACGGAAGTTTTTTCAGATTATTAGGGAAAATCGGAGTAGAAAGCCCCCCACCGGCTGCAGGAGCAGAGGGAACCAAGAAACATGCAACCCCAAACTCACCGTCACACCAAATGAACCCAAAGGGGTACCGCACCACCACACCATAGAACCCCACTGCTGGTGAAGGAGAGAGAAACCAGACCACTAGGGGGGGAGTAGGTCAAGGCCGCCCCAACATTGAAGGTGAAGATAACGTGCCGCAAGAACGTTGCGTCGTTCAAACCAGCTAGCACCAAGGCGACCGACACAACACAGGCCACCACCCTGGCATCCACCAAGCTGGCACTACTGCAGAATGCTGCTAACGCGACACTACGATCAGAGACCCTTCGAGAAACTGTGTGCGATGCAATAATCGCAAACCCGGTGTAAGAGAACCGTCTAAAATGTGCAAAACATTTGCGATGACGGATGCATCAAACACGGTTCAGATTTTTGTTGCGTGTGCGATGCAGGACATACGGTTCAGTTCAATTAACTGTTTGCGATGAGGAGGAACAAAAGAAACGGGCAGCCAGATGAAGGTGTGTGCGATACACAGCATACGGTTCACTCGGATGAACTGTTTGTGATTAGGCAACACAAAAAAAACAGTCAGCCAGATCAAGGTGTGTGTGATATACAACATGCAGTTCACTCGGATGAACTGTTTGTGTTGAGACAAGAGAACATAAATGATTCAATATAACAAGATATGTGTGATACGCGGCAAACATGTCTGTAATCAGAAATATGTGGGAAGACTGATAACAGCACAGACGATTCCTGTTAACAAGCCGTGTGTGTTGTGAGCAAACGATTACTGGTATACAATTGTCAATGATTGATAAAATCATCACCGACGGGTTCCCTTGTTTAGTCCGTGTGCGATGTGATTTGCTCTGTCTACAAAGTATCAACATATATACTTAAAAAGACAATATTGCATAACCAAATTAAGCATACAGTTACACAAGTGACTACACAGATAACATTTTCACACACCAAAGTAAGCAATTACATGCACACTAAACTAGGAGAAATGAGGATCTAATTAATTATCTACTTCTTGTTGCGATGACGCTTGCCATTGCTCTGCTTCCGGCTGGATCCTTGGCCGTTTTGGGAAAGGAGGCACTTCCTCATGCCAACGATCCGTCTGTACATGCCGTAGCACGTGTATGCCTCCTTGGCCGCGTACACGACGTGAGCTTTGTTGAGTTTCTCCATCCAGGCCGAGTGCCAGGCACGCTTGTCCTTGTTGCAGGAATCCTTCATGTCTCTTTCCTCCACATAGGCAAAATTGCCATGTAAGTAGGTTATAAGCCCGCTATTGTAGTACTTGCTCTTAGCGGCTTGGTGGACCAACCATGTGGGGTGCGAAGTGGCTTTGCTAGTGTGGGCGATGGAGGCCATCCCGCGTGGGCGCTAGGTCTGAGAGGACAGCCTTGTCGTCAGTGTGTGACCTCTCTGTGGCAACCGTTCGCCCCCACTAGCCTCTTCGTGTACGGTGGCAACCCTCCACCGCCTCTTCGCCTTTCCCTCTCGATTTGGAACTGCTATTGCATGCTCTTCCTCCCTATATTTTTCTTCACCCTTCCTTCTGCCATTGTTCGATCGTCTTCTCCATGGAGGGAACAGGCCGGAAACGACCCTGTTATTCTTGCCCCGATCTGAAAGATGGCGTGGTGGAGGAACTCATTGATCGGTGCGACGTCATCACCTCGGCTAGCATGGCAGGTTCATTCAAGTCCATTCTCGACTCAACAAATAGGGTTTAGGAGCGGTTTGATCTCCCCTATCTTCTTCGCCATGATGCTGGTCGCCGACGTGGGGATGACGGAAGCCTCGCCTTCTGCAAGTTGATGCCACTTGATAATGATATGCGTGATGTTAAGATGCCATTGCTTGAGGGTAAGGCTTGGGAAGGCGCAAATGGAGATTGGATTGTTTATATTGGGTATAACTGCGAGTGGGAACTTGTGAATGTGTATACTCGTCACCGGGTTCCACTTTCAAAAATCACAGATTACCCCGAGGTTGAGCACACAGATGATCTACGTACGTTCAAATACGATCATGTCGTCTGTCGTCTACGGAAGATAGCAATTTGTCGAGTTCCCAACCGCTCTTGGGATTACAAGAACTATGAAGTTGTTGCTATCTTCGACAAGCTTGTTGTCGTCCTTCCACGCCTCAATGGATATTGCTCAAAAATCAATTTCTGTACATGGATGAGTACTGTGATGCAATTCAATATGAGGGTCTTGTATTTGCTGCCACCACTCGTGGCACTGTTTTTGCATGGAATCCTTATGATTTCGGTACGTTTGTCTTCCACCATAATTATAACTGTTTCATCCACATCCATGCGGGTTAGCTAGTTTCCCTTTACTAATTAACCTTCTTGTGTTTCCAAGGTCCTGTGAACATTCCACCACCTATACTTGAAATTTTTTATAACCAAGGGGGAGATGACGATGGTGATGATCACGAGCATGTTGACGAGCATGACCTATATACTCAGTGGCGCCTAGCAACTTATTCCGATGGATCACCTCTTCTTGTATGTATATAGGGAACTGCTGATGTTACTAACGAAGCAGGTGTTGTCTCCCGTGGTCGCACTCTTGGGACCTATTCGAACATCCGTTGCAGGGTATTCGGGATGGATACTCGTGTGCTAGCGCCAACACCTTCTCCCTGGTTCAGTATTGATAGTCTTGGAGAAAACTCACTCTTCATTGAACAAAACTATCGAATAATGATGAAAGGTGATCTAGCTGCTGTTGACACAATGTTACTACCATTTATGAGAAGCAAATGTATCTATACCTCCGACATTGCTATGGTTCCCTACCATGGCTATCACAATATGTGTCCTGATATAGGCCGCTTCAGCCTGGATGATCAATCTTGCGTTGGTCTCGAGATTGACAATAGCTGGCCCTTCATAGAGAACCAGTTATGGTTCAAAGCAAGCGTTTCCAACGCCGAGGATTGGTTGAGCTGAAGTTTATTTCATCGCTTTGTTATTTGTTGTGTGATAAAAACTTTAATATTTACTAGAATGTTTTGTTGGAAATAATCTATAATTCAACATGTATCCTCGTTGTCGTTGAGTGTTGATGACTTGTTGTATATAATCCAAAGTATATTGTTTTTCTATTTGGATGATTAATGCTACCACTTTATTGCTTAATCGAAGCATGGCACGTATCCATTGTTGGTCTAATGCTCACAATTTGAATAAATAATATGTTTGGGATATTAGTTCCCAATTATTAATAATATCCCGTTTGTAATTAGATAAAGACTAGCAAAAAGGCCCGTGCGTTGCATTAGTATTTACCACGGAATGTCGGGTGCCATTCCATGATAGCATGCCAGGTTTCATGAATTTCAGATGAGTTTTGGATTTACTAGAATTTAAAAACCAGGTATCTCAATGTTTGCGGCCGAGTGACGGGGCCAGGGTGTTTGACATTCATTCTCATTTCTTGCATGGGACCTAAGCATGCAACCAAGGACACATATTTGAATTTTCAACCAATTTATATGCATTAGAGCATGCGCATGTAGTTCAAATTTGAATTATACACATAAATGCATTGAAAACTCAAGTAATGCATAAGAAATGTGCTAACAAACCCCGAAAAATTCCAAAATTTAACACAACACTCATGTTGTTCTATGTTGACACTAGAGAAAAAATTGAAATCAAGAACAAGCAACTGCTATCATTTCATCCAGAAACGTGAAATGTTCCCTACCGAAACCACCAGGCTTGTTGTGAGAAGCTCTGGTTTGTGAGAAGCTTATACTCAAACCTGCCCCAAACGGGACAAAAAATTTACCACGGCATGTCGGGTGCCATTCCATGATAGCATGCCAGGTTTCATGAATTTCAGATGAGTTTTGGATTTACTAGAATTTAAAAACTAGGTATCTCAATGTTTGCGGCCGAGTGACGATGGCAGGGTGTTTGACATTCATTACTATTTCTTGCATGGGACGTAAGCATGCAACCAAAGACACAAATTTGAATTTTCAAACAATTTATAGGCATTAGAGCATGTGCATGTAGTTCAAATTTGAATTATGCACACAAATGCATTGAAAGGTCAATTAATGCATAAAAATGTCCAAACGAACCCCGATAAATTTCAAAATTTAACACAACACTCATGTTGTTCTATGTTGTCACTAAAAAAAGAGCTGAAATCAAGAAGAGGTA